GTCTCGCATCGCTTTAGGTAACGGAGGGTCTCATGATAGCGCGTCAGATAGTGAGGTGGAAGTCGTATAGATGCCACGACCCAATGTCACGTTGGGTAGGAGGTGTTGTGAGATTGATGGAAATACGCAAGTCCGAGACAAGTTCTGGATTTGGAGAAAAGGCGCCTACGAAGAAAGCGAGCAATCGGACCGCGTGACTTGGGTTTAGCGTGACTTGGCGGCAGCCTGACGCGCTTAAGGCAGCCTTGTGAAGCCTTGCCACACACGCGATAGAACACCTACTTTGTCACTCGAGAGATGAAGGCCGCAGGTAGAGCAGCAATATGAGAAATTCAATACTTCAGGGTATCATAGCGGTAATTCATGCGGGGCGACATTATGCAACAGGTCGTGCCAACTCGTATCACAAGTCTCCCAGTTTCAGCAGCCCCCAATCCCCCAGGTATGCACACAGGGCGCGGCTGCTGCCCTTGGTGCAGTAATGCACAATCTGAGTCTTCTTATCCTCACCTACTACTTTCGCAATTTGCCTCAGGTCACTAGTTCTCGGTAGATACAACACCACGTTGGGCGTCAGCGTCTTGAGGGACTCGTAGAGATGGCTGAAAGAGTATGGTTGCATCGCTTCGATATCGAAGACTTCAGCTTCTCGGTATCCAGGACCTGCACCAAATGTAAGCGGCGGACTAATCGACTGATGTTTGCGTACATACCTCCCCAGGGGGGACTGGCGAAAATGACACCATAACTGCTGGCAATCGCCTTCAATGCTTCCACAGTATTCCCCGTTTTAGATTCACCCAAGCCTAGAACCTCGAAACAATCTCCCTGGAACCAGGTGATCCGATCAGCAACACCGTAGATCTCGGCATTGTGTTTGGCACAGGCTAGGGTAGCGGCGTCTTTCTCAATCGCATACACTCGTTTCCATTTGCCGGAAAGTGCGAATGCGATTGTGTTGCCGCCCACGCCACACATGATGTCGAAGATGATCGACTTGCCCGGTGGTGCGGCCTCTGCTATGTGTTGTGCAATTGTGCTAATCGAAGTCAGACAAACCTCATATAGAGGAGAAGAGGGGGCGAGGAACCTACTTTGCAACCGACTCGTGGGTGACTTCATACCATGAATCATCAGTCATCCAGATACCGTCGTCATATTTTGAGAAGATCGAGTAGCCCTGATGCCAGTATCTGTAAAAGTGAGGCAGGTTAGTCTCGGTCGAGAATGGGTGTTGCGATTCATACTTTTGGATGTCCCATGGAACTTCCTCGATATTCTGGTAATGATGAACGCCTTCGGGCAAAGGCGTTGCAGGCGGCCGCTTCTTGTAAGGATTGTCATTGTCAGTTTCAGCGCGCTCGGTGTTCTTGCGTTTCCTTCCCATCCTAACGTCTAGAAGTCTGTTTGGTACTTAGGCAGATATTGTTGGCGAGAATCGAATCAGCGGAGTTGATTTGGAGATGGGGACGGAGCGGAGGCGCCAAAAATCACCGACGATGAATTCATTCTCGACTCCAACTCTGCCCGCAACTTTTATTTGGCAGGCACAGCAGGCGCCTCTCCCTCAACAACCAACTGAACACTCATCCAAGGCTCTCGAGTCCTTCACAGCTGATGATGGACAATTCTCAATTTCGGAGTCTAATCCAATCCGACCATAATGCAACTCCATCGAGCAGCGGGACCTCCCCGCCAACTTTCAAGAAGCCCGCACTTGGCTCTCGAGCACGCGCATCGATTCCTATGACGCCTCGCTCTGTAGCGGGATTCAATGCCGCCAAAGTATTCACGCAGCAACTTGCAGAATATCGAAAAGAACACGATGGACAACCTCCCGCGAAAAGGTTCAAGTCAAGCGCACCGAAAGGCAGCAAACTCGCCTCTGGCTACCATGACCGCACCTTGTCTCGACAGACGGACGAAGAGCGTGTGGAGGAACTCGATGATAAGGAGAAGCGAGTCAAAGCATTGGAAGAGATGTACAAACTACAACAGATTGACGAGGCTACCTTTGAGAAGCTGAAAAGCGAGATTGGGATTGGTGGCGATCTTAAGAGTACACATCTAGTAAAAGGCTTGGACTGGAAACTGTTGGAAAGAGTTCGACGAGGCGAAGATGTCAACAGCGCTCCAATATCCGAGCGGGGGAATGTGCCTGCTCAATTGAACGTAGACGACGAACTAGAGGAAGCCCTGCAGAGAGATGTGAAGGCGGAGAGGCCGACTTCGAAGGAACCACAAGATGAAACCCCGGGTGATCTCCAAGAACCCATGACACGAGATGCCATCTTGCGACGGCTGAAGGAGAGCCGAAGTGGAATGTCAGCGGCCGCCCCTCCAGAACCAGCACTTGGAGCACGGTTCAAGAAGGTGACCTCGGAGAAGCCAAACAAGAAGAAATTCGTTGAAATCATCAATGGACGGCGCCGAGAGGTGTTACTCATTACCAATAAAGATGGAACGACGAAGAGGAAGACTCGCTGGCTTGATAAGGAGGAGGATGTCCCAAAAGGCGATCGAAATCAACCTCTTGGGATGGAAGTGCCAGCAGAACTCCTAGCGAAGCAACAAGCCCTTCTGGACCAGCAGGCGGGCGAAGAGGATGATGATGATATCTTCCAAGGAGTAGCCGATTACGATCCACTCGCCGGTATCAACAGCGAGTCAGAGGATGAGGCAGTCGACAAAGAGACGGCGTCAAGAGCAGAAACCGCCGAACAGACCGCTGCGTCGACGAGCAACAAGCCACGAAATTACTTTGCGACAAAAAATCAAGAAGAGGAAGCCGAGGATCGCACCAATCCGATTTTGAAAGATCCTACACTCCTTTCGGCCTTGAAGCGGGCCGCAGGCCTACGAAAAACGGAGGAGACGGATGGGGATTCAGCTGTCGAGTCGGATCCTGATAAAGCCGCGAGGCAGCAGCAGTTGCTGGCTCGACTGAGAGAACGAGATAGGGCAGATGCTGCAGATCTGGATCTAGGATTCGGTGAGAGTCGGATTGCCGACGAGGACGACGAGGACGAAGCAGGGTGGGACGACGGTGGAGCGTCGGCGAAGAAAAGTGGACGGAAGCGTGGCCCAAAGAAACGCAAGGGGGATAAAGACAACGTGAGTGATGTGATGGCAGTGCTTCAAGGGCGTGAAAAGAAGCCCTAAAGTCCGAAGGTCATTACCGAGTATAGGACATTGAATCTCGTGCCCGTTTCTTTTCATAAAGTTTCGCTTCTGCACGACATCTGACCGCGTGGCCGTAATCGAAACGAAATGGCAATGTCAACGCGCTAGAACACGATACTGGAGTACGTGCCCTTCGTACGTACAACGCACCACATGGTCGAGGGCCTGGAGCGTTTCTTAAATTGCACAGAGATCCCAGAGGGGGGGGGGGGGAGGGACGTTGTTTTGGTAGGATCCGCAAGCGGGGGGCAGAGGAGTTTTCAACTTCCCCCCTGTTGACATTGCGCGGACTTTCGGAAATCGGGACATTAGATGGTCAGATTTTCAAGACAACGAAGGGAAAGATGGTGGTTAGGAAGTGAATCGGTGGAAATGGCGAGGAGGATGGAGATTAACGAGTACTAGTACCATTCGCTTGTAGATGGCCTGGTACGGGACCTTCATCCCTGGGTTGCGATATAGAAAGGTACCAAGTACGGAGTATCTATTCGTCGCACGTGTGTTGCTAGTACTATGATCCTATCACGCCAGAAGACCCAGCCAGGTACTGGGAAACTATTCCCGATATGGCACTTCTCCGTACTAAATGCCTCCCTGTTATTACCACCATCAGGACAGTCCGCTGAACAGATGACGTGTCCCATGCCAAGCCCCACAACCCACCTGATTCTAGGTACACACTCTCTCACATACTTGCACACATTCTCTCTGAATCGCTTCATCAATATCTCAGTGCTAATATAGCACAGCTGAGTACTATTTCCACCTCTCTTACTCCCCGCAGAGACTCCGTTGTCAATCACTATTCCCGCTCCTTGTTCATTATGTCAAGAATGTCCGCCACTGGGATCTTCTGGACTAGTGTCCGTTTTCCCCTTGAGCCCAAGCAGGGGTCTGTTGCGTGGGTGGCTGGTACCTGACACCAAGTAGCGTTGCGACCGGCAAAGCTAACCCTCATCGGATTGTTTCGATAGCTTAACTGGCTCACCCGTTTGCTGGACCTCGCTGGAGCTCGCAGTGGTGGATGTTTCCCCTGCATTGCCGCCCCCATTGGCGGTTTCAGGTCAGATCTTTACCAATCTGGCCGCTGACTGGCTTCGGAACGACCAGATCCTGCGACAGTAGCCTCGTTGCCAATTGACCTCACCTGTTCTGCAGCTTTCCCCTTTTCTGGCCCCAGCCTGGGATCTGGGACTCCCATGCCAGCACCCCGGACCGTTACCATAGCCCGACCCATGGTCAGGGCGTTTCTATTACATGTCATTCTTAGCCCTTCTCTCTCTCGCCGCCAGCAAATGGATCTTGAAAAGACCCGTCTCTTACAACACCGGAAAATATGCGGTCTACAATCAACCAGGATCCCCGTCACACGAAAGACCACCATGAAACGTGCCAACCCGTTTTTGCTGTCCTGTTCACAACTCTCCTTCAACCCCTTCCGCCATGTTCTCCATCGACCCCTCTGCCGGCAGAGGTATAACTCTGAGGTTCTTGTCGTTTCATTTGCATCTCCTTCCTTCTCCTTCCTACCCAACTGTCTTCCCCCGTTGTAGGCTCTCTGACACGTTTGTGCGACACATTGCACTTCGTCTTTCTTTCTGCAAGGCTAGTCCTTCGTTCCGTCATTCGCATACTGCAGAGCTACGCTCGCGGTCACTCTTTCACCCAACCAGCCAGGTCCTTCATTGATTGAATCGGCTACAGCATTCCCCAGGCGGGTTGTCATCCAATTATATTATACCTCGTATCGCTTTCCTGCAAGACTACTGTACCCATCAAACACTATCCCCGTCAACAGCTTACTCATCTGATTCAATATGGTTACCAAATACTTGTCTGTGGCGTTGTTCGCCTCGGCCGTTTTGGCATATCCTAAACGACACGAACGATTCCACTATGGCAGTGGCACAGGTGGTGGCTGGGCTATGCCAACTGGTGGCATCTACCCCATGAATGGCACTGTTCACACCAAGGGCCCAGACTCTGGTGCTTCTTCGGTGGAGACACCCTCTTCTGTCGTGGCTTCAGCTGTCAGGACTGTCACCGTTCAGCCCATCCCGCTCGACTTGTCTTCTCCCGATACCGCTCCCGCTCCTGCTCCGGCTTTCTCTAGCCCGCCCGAGGTTGCAGCAGTCGCTTCCAGCCCCGGCCTCGCAAATACCGATGCCGCCCCAACAGTTGCCGCTGCAACGGCTGCTGCTCCAACCGATATTGACATGTCATCTTGCTTCGTCTTGACTACCACCATAACCGCCACATCTGTCGAGTACGTCACGGTCACAGCAACTGCTGGCGTTGGTGGATCCGAGGACTCGGGCAAGAACTTCGGCGTCCCTTCGGACTCTACAGCAACTCTCCCCTCCGAAGGATCTGCGCCTTCAGGGGGTGCAGGTCAATTCTTCGGGGCTTCATCGAGCACCAGTTCTGCATCTGTTGCACCCGAAGGCCCCGGCGGATTCTATGGTGCTTCTCAAAGCTGGACCTCGGCTTCATCTACTACGTCCGCTGCACTGGGTGATCTGTCTTCATCAAGCTCATTCAGCCTTGTTTCGGTTTCTCCTACTGCTGGGCAATTCTTCCCCGGCGGCGGAAGAAGCTCGGGTGTTCCATCCTTCGGTGGCTCTTCCATTTCGGTGCCATCCGTTGGTTCCCAAGGCGTCCCCCCTACAATCATCCCAACGACATTGGCCACTGTGACTGGTGGGTCTCCGGCTTCCAGCCCAGCTAGCAGTGCCTCTTCTGCGTCGTCGTCCGTTTCAAGCCCAAGCTCTCCACCTAGCACTGGATCGTCGGGTAAGAGAGGTCTTTCTTACAACGATGCTTCCTTGACCGATGCCTTCTCCGGAAAGGGCATGAGCTGGGCCTACAACTGGGCAGCTTCAGCAGGTGGCCAAATTGTTTCTGGTGCAGAGTATGTCCCCATGCTCTGGGGCCAGAATTCCATCTCGGGTTGGTCTAGCGCTGTTCAGTCTGCCATCGCCGGCGGATCCAAGCATGCCTTGGCTTTCAACGAACCTGATCTCGGCTCGCAATCAAACATCGACCCCGCGACTGCTGCCAAGTTGTACATCGATAACATGAACCCTCTCGCGGGTCAAGTCCAGCTTGGCTCGCCTGCTATCACCAACGGCGCGGGCACCAACCCGCTCATGGGTATCGACTGGCTCAACGCCTTCTTCAAGGCCTGCGCGGGTCAGTGCAAGGTTGACTTGGTCGCATTCCACTGGTACGACTCAGCCAGCAACTTTGGCTACTTCCAGAGCCACGTCCAGGACGTGATCGACGCTGCCGCTGCAAACGGCGTCGGCAAGGTCTGGCTGACTGAGTTCGGCGCCTCGGGCTCGGACAGCGACGTCGCGAATTTCTTGGACCAGGCCATCCCATGGCTCGAGTCCCAGACCGCCGTCGAGCGGTACGCCTACTTCATGTGCTCCGATGGCATCCTGGTCAAAGGCAACTCCATCTCATCACCCATCGGTGAAGCTTATCTCTCATAAGCCCACCGCGTCGCGGTCATCTCGCATTCATCTGTCCTGATTGTCAAATCCCAAGCCTGATCCCGACGCCGATCACAGTCGGACTTTTATACCAACCTTTTTTTATATACTTCAACCTCTCTTCTTGAAAGCGAGGACCATGACCTCTTTTTTTTTGGTTTTCATTTCTCGAAGATGGGGGAGGGAGGGGGGGGGTTGATTCGCATTAGAAACCCAGGGAAATTCAATTCTTTGTACATTTTTTGTTACCATTTTCAATTCGTGTCGGGAAAAAAAAATCAATAACAGACAGGAAAACGGATTCATCATAACGGAAGCTGAAAGGGCATTTGGCACGGATGGGTAGATGAGTTGCAAAATTTGAGCCTCTTCTTTTTTCATGGTATAGGGAGAAAGGGGGGCAGGAAGGGAAACGGGATAGGACGGGACAGGGACAGGAATAACCAACCAACCACATGCAACCTGCAACCAGATCCTGTTTTTTTTGGGTGTTTGTTTCGAGCTGTTTTTAAAAAAAAAAGGCAATATAGAGAGCCTGGTCATTATGTATCTCAGGAACAATGACTTGTCACGACGGTCGACGACATTTTGACTTTTTTTCCCTCGCCGCAATTAAAAAGAACAAAATACAAACAAATATGACATGACCTGACATGACATGATGGATATCTTTATCTGTAATATATATATATATATATTGTATGAAGTTCCCATCGACCTTCCTCCGCAAAATACTGAACTACTCGTACATGTATGTCCATGGCACTCATTCCCTCCAACGTCTGTATAAATAGATATATATGGATATCTCCCATTTCCAAACACATCCGCTGGTTCCAAAAAATACCGATATATGCGTACAAGACTTTGGCTCAGTCGACCTCTTTCTTTACCACGTCGATCCCGTATCTGCGAATCCCATCGTCCGTCTCCCACCACCCAAGCTTGAAGACCCAACCATTCAACACTCCACTCCGCATCAAGGTCTTGTCATCCATGAACTCTGCCTCCTTTGGCAACAGCGGGACGTCGCCACAATCTGGGCCATTGTGGACGGCAGGGTCCCTACAAAACCTGCTCCCGGCCCACAGAGCCATATCACCTGCGATGGTGCAGGGGTTGTACGGGACGACTTCCCTCGTCGTGGACAAGAACATTGCAAGCGAACCGCAGAGGAACATTGTGCCGAGCAGGGCCTGGAGCGTGATCTTTGAGGCGTTGTTCTGTTTCACGCGCAATACGCCGTTCTTGACCGTCATAGACCCGTTGAACAGCCTGGCTTCGGACGCAAGAGTGGGGATCCGCATGTTCGCCGATATCGCCTGAGCCATGTATCGCCGGTAGAAAGCCTGTATCGAGGCCCTGACTTCTGTGGCGCGGCCAGATTCGGCGAGCCACGACTGTGGTATTGGGTATTTCCCGAACAACACGCCCTGGAAGAATCTGTCGACCGTGCTTTGATCGAGATTGCTGGAATCGTATTCTGTTTGATTAAACAGCGAGAGTTCTGTATCGATATGAGTTTGAAGCCGGTAAGAGAAGGCAGTTTCGCCGCTGGGACCACTGGGCAGAAACTTGGAGACGGTGTCATCGGGGATGGGTGGTGAATCTGACGATATGGACAAGTCAGGAAGGGTCAGGTGGACGGTAGTGGGAAGCTGTTGCATGTTTTGATCGCACATGAGCACAGACACGGATGTCTGACTGGCATCGTTTACGTCCACAAATCCATATATGAAGCCGAGGGACGGGCACCCAGGTGGATTATCCCTTTGTGTCGTAGGCGAGAGCTCGTCTTCGCTCAGCTCATGAACAGGATCAAAAGGCCCTACGTGGAGGTCCAGTATTTTGCCAATATAACTCCGGTTCTGTGTGTAGGGAAATTGGAAACTTCTCTCAAATTCGATAGAGGTTAGATTCCCTCCGGGACCACCAAAGAGGCATTGTTCGGGGAGAGAGCCTACTGCTCGGACGGTTGCACCGGGTCCGACCTTGGGGTTGTACGATGTGGTGACGTTGAACTGCGACAGACCGAAACTGGTACAGTTGAGTGAGGCGCGAAGGGAAGGGAGCTCGACACTGAGCATGGCGTCGGTGTCGACGGGCCCCGATGTTTGACTTGTCGTTGTTTGCAGTCCAGGCAAGGCAAACTCCTCATGAGTAAATCGTGGATAGGTGAGGTTCAAGCTCTCGCTTAGGCTTGTGAGAACAGCAGCACCGCTGTCATTCAAGACACTGTTACCCCAGGTAGTGTTGAATGAATCAGTACTTTGGATCTGTACGGGTGAGGTGACCGGAACAGAGTCAATAGTATAGAGTCCAGAGCTGACAATGGTCAAAACACTGCCTAAAAGCGCTGCAATGATGGCAAGTGACGAACCCCAATATCGACTTCGCAACGCTGTCCAAAGAGCGTGTAGAGGCATCAAGCCAACAAGAGATCGACTCACAGGAGTCGATGGTTGACGGTTGGCTTTCATTGCATTGTAGGGCGCAAGGACTATCGATAGAAATTCCAGGGAGTCAAACATGGTCGCAGACAAAAGCATGATCAGAGCCGGCAGATACCGAGTAAATATCTTCGAGGGTAAAGATTCCACGTCCGATACCGATGCGATTCCAGAATTTCGATCACTCTGGCGCTGTAGCACTTCGAGCACCGCTATGATGGCTACTGGTAGAGCCAATGCCGCAGACACAAACGCTCGATTCGCACCCAATGGCCGCCACCAGCCTGGCTCTGTATCATCCCTCGGGCTTTGAATATCTGGGACAGAACCGTTCACAGATACCACAAATTGTCTGCCTGAGGAATCCAGGTTGGCAATCCTGCTGGTGAAAGTGTAATTTTGTAGATTCGCCGCAAATTGATCCTCTTCATATCCAGCGCTGGTCTGGAGAACGTCATGCAGAAGTTTGTTTGGTCTCAGAATAAGAGCTGCGGAAAGAGTCGATGTCGGATCCCTAGGTGTAGCGTCTTGTTTTCTTGTCAGGATGAAAAAGACGGCGATCACTATCATCACCCCAAAACCCCCAACCATAGACCAGAGCGAGACGTCGTTGATCCGAAGTCTCTCTTGAGTGTATGATGCTTGGCCTGTGGTCCGGAGACTGACAGCTTGAGCCAGATTTTTCTTTATAATCTGTACTGCGACCTGTTGAAATGCCTTTTCTGCAGTCTTTATCATAGTTGGCTCGTCGAGAAGAGCCTCATACCCACCACCAGCTACTTGTGCCATGATTTTGAACATCGTATTCGGGTATTCTTCTGCGTAAGCATTGTCCAAGACGTTGCCAAACATCTCTGCTGCAGCGGACAAAGACGCCGTAAACAGTCTTCCAAGATCAAAATCGGTAAAGTCTTCTAATTTCTCTTGCGATGGCTCTGAAGGACGAGTGATGGTGACTTTGACAGGATTTTGACTATAATCGTATGTGACATTGACCCTCTCGATGGTGTAGCTTGACCGACATGCTATGCCGGTGAGCCCAGGAATGGACGTGACCCAGGACGACGCTTGAACACTTTCACCAACAATCGCGGTTTCGTCTGATCCGGTCAATGTCTGGTTATAGCGGATGTCGGCGAGGGTCAGGAGCTGCCAATTGTCCTGCGTGTTCGGATCTGTCTGGTTGAAGCAACTAATCCGTTGAAGGAGCGGGCTAAGCTGGCGAGCCGGGCACTTGAATGTTTGAGGGTTAAGAGTGTAGACCGGGGTACCATCCACACCCTGTCCGCCTCCAATAAGTTGACACTCTGGAAACTGGAGCTGAAGACTCAGGATCGGATGCTCATCTGTGGTGTTCGGGAAATTAGGGTCTACACCGACTGGTGCCGACTCGCAGTGAAATGCTGGAACAACTGCCTTCACAGTGGTAGTGACTTTCAAGTTGGTCAAGGAGTCCGTACTTGACGGCATGAAAGTCTCATAAACAAGGCTTTCAGAAGTTCCCTCGGGATAGCTGAGCCCACTGGCCAGGATGCCATAAGCTGTGTAAACCAGCGACGAGTCATTGAGCGTAGGAAATGATGTCACATTGACGGCCGATCCATTGAAGCTGTTCAATTGAATAAGATCCAGGCTGGGATAGTGTTGAATAGTCGGCACCGTTATAAACAAGCCTGTCGAAATCAGGGTAACGACCTTCAACAACATGAAGCCCACAATGCTGGTCATGACGATGAAATGTTTATTTTTCAGAGCTTTCCAGAGACTGTATATCTGCATCGGCGAGATATAGTCCAGAGACATACTTTGTGAGCCCATCTGTGGCTTCTCCCTGAGGGCAACCCATGGCGCCATAGTCTTGCAGTGGAAATCAATCTGCCGCCACAGAGCTGCAACGAGGACGAGTAAAGCGGTTGGTCCATATGTCCAGGAATAGTGGTTGCTCGTGATCAGAACGAAGCCGCGATATTGCATGTTATACTTCCACAATACCAGGAGGGCGACCGTAAGTGCTGCGAATAACAATCCAATTCCCATCAGTGTCAAGCGAGAGAGCCAAACAGACTTCCACAGAGCAGCACAGGTCCGCTCCGGAGTTTCGATCATTGAACCATTGTCTGAACACTCGACTGTCGACTGAGCAGCCATCTTTTGATGTTCAACGTCGATGGATAGTGTGCTTCGTCCATCTTGAGCCCTTTCCTTCCTTGTCATATATCTCAGAAACCGTCGTACTCCTGCGGGTAGCTGCCGAACCATCCTCGAGGACGTCAGTAGTGATCGGGCAATTGTGCAATAGAAAACTCAAATACATTCCCAAAGTATAGTGACACAATGACTGTGTATATGCTCCGGAGACGACATCGTTAGTCCTGGGGCAGCAATGGGGTAGATACAGCTGGCGTTTCAGCCGCGCCCGACAACTGGCCCGGCGCTTAGGCATTGGACATCTGCACCGCTTTTCAAATCAGAAACTTGCCATTTCTTGAGACAATATCAACAAACGAAGAGCACGGTCGCGCGCATACGCGCCATTAGTGCCCAGTCAGGCTAAGTAAAGAAATACAATCGTGGTTTGTTGGGACAGGAGACTGAAGCATCGGATTCATAAAAAGGGGTTTCATGCTTGCCATTGGTCAGCCTTATCAGCCTCGCCTGCTTCCGAGCTTGCGGACCAGGACTACATGAAGCAAAGATAGCGAGAGGACGGTTTTGGGAACGGACTGTATGTGAGGTTCTGTATCAAACAGCGAACGTCCAGAGAAATTATGGTCTCAGCATAACTGTTGTCCCGGTATACGCTTGTAACGCCCACCATATACCGACTTGGACCCGAGAAATCAAGCCAACGAGGAATTCCCTATGCTATGAGCGGACCGGGAGTGGATGTTGCAAATATGATAGAGCATTCAAGCAACTAGAGAAGGGCACACGGACAATCTCGCCATTTGAATTCAAGGAGAGTCGCAACTGCAACAATCCCCTGTTTGTTCCTCAGCACGAGTACGGTCGGCCTGAATGGGTCCTCAAATCAGGGATGATGTCAAGACTGATGGGTGGGCTGGACGCAGGCCCGCGAAGCACCGACTTGAAAAATTCCTGAGATTCTCTCCCTCCTCGCCTATCAAGAGGGGAAAGGTTTCGGCGGCGAGGAAGTACGCTTCTGTCCCGGCCGAAGACGATCTCAGAGACCGTTTGTCTGGTTATCTAATATGTACTCAGCCACAAAGAACAAGTCCCGGATCGGCAGAGTAGGACTTTCAAGAATCATCATGATCCCACTGGGCAAAATTCTTCTCGGTGACAAATTGATCTCGCTTCAAGAAGGAGCACCGGTCTTGCGTAATTGGTAGTGCCCTCGAATTACTTCTGGGACATCCATTGCTATGTTGTTGAAGTCTTTGAAAAGTATGCTCGCTCCAGCCAGATGACACCGAGAGTACTTGGTAGAGTTCAAGTAGTTGTCGCTACCTGGCACGCAGGTACAGTCGTACTCGGTCAACCACATCTCGTCGAAGTCGCTGTGATCAAGGCACTTCAAAGAGAAGTGTCTCCAACCACTACAGGCTATTTTCCGGTCAACAGATGGTTGATACTCGCTCGCCAGAAGAAAGGGTGTTGTAGGACACATCAACGTGTCCGGAGACTGTCTTTGCACCTTTCGGTGCCAATGGGTCCGGCACGGGTCGAACTGGCCTTGCCTAGGGTAACTTGAATCACCAAAGCCTGCTACCAAGGTGCAAACTGAGGCTGACTGGCAAATGACCTCTCGAGACCAAGTCTCGCATCCCTGTACCGTCGCTCAGCTGCTGGCTCTCTTGAGACCTTGCTCAGCGGTCTCGACAAGGGGTAGAAGGCTTCGCTCCCTCAACATAGGCAGCAGACTCTGAAAGGCTTCGCGTGCCTTCGCCTTGTCGCCATTATCCAGCAACAGATCTGCACGAGTCATCTGGGCGGAGATCAAAGCGGCGGTGCAGATTTCATCGCGCTCCTCAGACTTAACAACGTCGGCCGTGGCGATCGCCTGGTCTGCCCATCTCAGAGCGGCGCGTCTCCCGGCCGCGAGCGTGTCCTTGGTCGCTGGCTTCCCATTGATCTTAGCCGTGGGTTTCTTCAACGCCATGTCCATGGCAGAAGCGATGTTGCTGAGGACTTGAACCTCTTTGCAGGATCTGGTGCCGTTGCACGACGCTCTCAGCGGTTGCAGAGTGAGCATATATAGTTGGATGGCGTTTTCCTCTTCTCCCGAAGTGGCGTACAGATCGCCCATCTGGGACAGCATTGCAGCAATTTCCCCAGTAGTCAAGCCTGCACCATTCTCCTCCGTGAAGGTATTGACCTGAGGGTTCTTGGTCTCCTTGACGACAAGCCCGACCGCGTCCGACAGCACTTGTTTGGCCATGGTGGGATTTTGGAGATAATCGCTTTCGTACATTGAAGAGACTTTGATCTTGAGCTTGACGATTCCCTTGATCAGATTCGCGCGGAAATCTGCTGTTTCTGGATCCAGAGCGGATGGAGCATCGCTCTTGACTGACTGTGCTTGGTCGAGCTCTGCCAGCTTTTGTTCGAGATCCGAAGAGATACCGTCGAGAATCTCGATGGCAGCCTTCACGTGTCCAAACTCTTCCAACATCTGGGAGAAGCGGACCCGGATGCCAACCGTGTCTTTGCTATACGGGTCCATCCCAACCTCCTCCGCCTTCTTGATAGCTTGCATGAAGTATTGTGACGCGGTGTCCGGGTCTGGCGAGATGTGGGTATAGTGCAAGGCCAGCCGAAGTTGGTCTTCGACCGCCGGAGGATATACTGAGGTGCCTTTCTTCTCCCTCCGCCATTGGTCGTATGCCATGATGATGAGCAAGACTACTGAAGCAGTCGAGCCAAAGAGCAGGAACGGAAAGAGGACAGGGTGCTTGACCCGGGCATCGATGACTGCTTGTTCGAATCGGTTGGGCGGTCTCGCATAGTTTCTGGCGTTTCTTGTCTGGACTCGTGCGTTGAGGGAGGGTGTGTTCCGGACGAGAGGCCGTGATCTGGACAAACTGTGGATGCGATTGAGGCAAGCTCGAGAGGGAGCGGGTTGTGCAGGCCTGAAGCTGCGAAGTAGCTGACCCGTGAGCATACCGGATTTCATGTTCATGACCGACGATGATAAGATTGTTCTCGAGAATAGGAGAGAAAAGGGTAAACTGGAAAGAAGTGCGGCAGGATCCTTATTGATGGTCCACGTTTTTTGACGCGGAAATAAATTTGAGATTCTACCCCAGATTTCTTGCGAAATGCGCCGACGTCACCATCCGTCGCGCCACCACCACCACCGTTCACTCGTATTCCCATCGTATTTGCCAACTCTCGCTGCGCCCACCTCCATTTGACATGCTCTGCATAGTTCCTCAACATCTCCAAAATGTGTGGGAGATACGCGCTAGGTCTCCGTGCGGCGTTTGTGCGGTACCAGCTTCAGCAGCAAGGCATGCCGGTTGACGATGCCCCCGGCGACGATGAAGCCCGCGAAACCTACAACTTCCCTCCCGGGTCCTTTGGCCTTGTTTACAGGGCAGATGTGCCAGACCAAGGGGTCAGGGACAACGACGAAGCAGGAACCAGCGACGCTGCTGCAGAACACGAGAGTCAAGCAGAGCAAGCGGAACAAGAGCCGCAAGAGTCGACCCCGCCGACATCCAGTCAATCGAAGCACTTCAATTACCAGCTTAAAGTCATGAAATGGGGGTTAATCCCCTTCTGGACCAAGCGCGCCCCCGACTACGGGTCCATGTTGCGTACTATCAACTGCCGCGACGACTCTCTGATCGAGAACCGGGGTATGTGGAATACGATGAAGCAGAAGAAGCGCTGTCTGGTCGTGGCGCAGGGTTTTTACGAGTGGTTGAAGAAAGGTCCGGGTGGAAAAGAGCGGATCCCATATTTCGTCAAGAGAAAAGATGGCAACTTGATGTGGTTCGCTGGATTATGGGACTGTGTCAAGTACGAAGACACAGGGGAGAAACTGTACACCTACACTATTATTACGACAGATGCGAACAAGCAGCTGCAGTTCCTACATGATCGAATGCCAGTGATTCTGACTCCCGGGACTGAAGAAGTCAAGATGTGGCTGGACCCGACAAGGAACAAGTGGAGCAAGGAGCTTCAGGCGATTCTGAAACCATATGAGGGCGAGCTGGAATGCTACCAAGTAGACTCAGCCGTTGGGAAAGTGGGAAACAATTCACCCAGCTTCATTGTTCCGGTCGACAGCAAGGAGAACAAGAAGAACATCGCCAACTTTTTCAGCAACGCTGGTGCAAAGAAAGCCACGAATAAAGTCAAAGTCAAACCGGACCCAGCCCAGCCCGCGGCTGAAGATACTGGAGACGGCAAAGACGTGCCGCTGCCTGGAACGAGTCCCCCGTTCGAAGGAAAGCAAGGCATGAAACGAGAGCATGACGACCAGTCCCAGGGCAGCCCAACGAGAAAACACACGAAAGTGTCCTCCACTACTCAGTCCTTGAAGTCCCCTCAACCCAAGAGGACTCTGGGTAAGAAGCCGAAGAGTGCAACTAGCAATAAGGACATGACTCTGAAGTCTAGTCCGGCAAAGAAAGTCGAACCAGGTATGCAACAGATCACAAATTTCTTCAGCAAGTGAAAATACCTGAATGTGAGCTCTGGCGAGGGCTGGTCATATCTCTACCAATCGCCCATCACGTTCGGAAGACCCTACCAGCTCCTCACTTACTTTGACCTCGATCCACTTGCCGCCTGCCGCCTTGCGGACACTCCGCAAATGTCGCGCCACAGACTGCGCAGTGCTTCGAATCCTGTCGAAGCGTTCACGCTCTTTCTTGTACCGATAGAGCCTACGCTCGGCCTCGATATCCTCATCCTTGGCTGGAGTGCCGTGTCCTATCGCCGAAGGACGAACCGGTCTCCATCCGACTTCTAGAATCAGCGTCTCCAGCCCACGCCAGCCACTGTTCCATTCAGGGCCAGCCGTTTCCTCCCCAGGAGGGGAAAATGAGGGTAGAGAGAAGAACGATACGGCCAGTGGGCTTTTCCATTCAAGTGCAGCAAACCAGTCTCCACAACCTGTAAGATCCAGCCATCTTAGGCAGTATAACGAGCGGCTCAGTGTCCGCAGTATTCCTGCTGCTTCTCGCCAGTCGTCGTCGTCGAGAGACGTATGAATGTCCGATCCGTCGTACACAGCCGATGCTAAATCGGGCCGGTTGATTAGGGCTCGTGTGAACGCGGCGTTTGGCGTGAGTGTAGGTTGAGGCCAGTGTGCCAGTGAAAGAGAGGTCAAAGTGCCCAATTCAGCAGTCAGAGCAAGAAGCGAAGACCACGAGGCAGCCTTGAAGTTGTATGGAGAGACAGCGAGGGACAGATGCCTCAAATTCTTGAAGGTGTGGATAGTTCTAGGCAGTGGAGTGATCATTAGAGTGTCTGTTGCGTGTTCACCGTTTGCATCAGTGTCCCAGCTATCTGGAGTAGGATCCATTGTATAAGTTCGATTTTCGGCCGTCTTCTTGATAGTCGTAGTACCTGCATTCTTAACCAATAGATTTCTTTCCAACTGTTTCAAAGTCGTCCAAGTCCCGACGGCGTTGCTTAAGTCCAGCCTTGTGACCTGCGCCTTGTCCTCGGTGTCCGTTTCATCTAAAAACAGAATCTTCAAGGGATTACTCCGGACCGTCTCGCTGTATACGGCAATGTAGCTCAAGAGATTTTCCCTGAGTAAGATAGGCAGATCCACAAAATAGTCGCCGTCGTTCTCTGCGTGCCATTCCCAATTGCATGCTATGCTCTTCAACACGAGATGCTGGAGGGAGGTGACAGAGGGGAAGGCTCCGTTTGGCAGATTACTCGACCGCACTTGAATGCGACCATTGCCAATGTCTGGATCGGTGGCAAGAGCGACAGGATAACTGGAAACAGTCGAAGTACCGCGTCTGCCTGTAAGCCAGCTCTGTGGTGGAGGTGGACCAGGGATGTGCCACAGCAGACTCGGACCCAACTCACCGCCAGCTACGCGAGGACCAAATCTGGGTCGTGGGGCAGGCGCAGGCGGGGTGGGTAGGTCAAGGACGGCTCTCACAGAGGGGTGGACAGAGGATGCGTTAGCTGCAGTGTCAGATCTCGTGCCATTTCTCAATTGCTGACGACGAGACTCCCGAATCAGGTCATTGACGGTGCGTGGAGTATCCGAGTTTTCAGGTTTGGAGGACTTCGAGAGCGAGAGGGTATGAGGACTGCTGGACTGCGGTTTGAGGAATAGGACTCGTTTTTGGTGTTTCTTCGGCATGGATCCAAGCGTGAGGGGTGACGAGGGGACAGGCAGGTGAAGTCCACAGGGAACAAGGCGAGGGTGAGTACCTATCGAGCTATATCGAGCTATCTTGTCTGTTCATGGGGAGTCATGATCGAGTCAGGAAGGGAGTCATGGATGTAGGTAGTAGTCATTCGACCGCCGCCTGTTCCAGACCGGACCATCACGTGTAGCCAAGAGAGAGAATGTACTTGCTCGTATGTCATTCCCGCTGTCAGTGACTGTCACAATGTCCAACCGCTTATTGCCTCAGTGCAGAGGCGGCAACTTAGCATATGAGGTGTATATGGTGCATGAGATTAGCAGTCTACATCGAGACACTAAAGATAGTTAGGTTGGGGGGGTAGAGATCCCAGAGTTAGAGGTAGAAGTGGACTCCTGGCTCTTTCGGATAACGGGAAACAAGCGCTGTGGGGGAGTCATTCTCACTCACTGGCTCTCTTGGCGAGGGACTATTGTAGCTCTTTTGACCACAAAGGTAATAGGCAGGATGGGAGGGCATCAGTCAAAAATCCACATCAATGGTATTGTACAGATAATATAGGTAGCCTCCCCTGTGAAGCTGTAAAGGACGAGGCCGATGCCACTAAGAGCCCATGTAATCGCCTATGTGTTTCTGCCCATTCGAGAAACACAGGCCGCACTTTCATGGTCTATCCGCGATCCCTTGACCCATCTCTTTCTCTTCCCGGTAAATTGTATCCCTGCATCGATAAAAGTACACCTGTTTTCCACCAGGAGTCGTAGCTCGGCAGCGCCCAACCGCTCTTGCGCATAGCACGGCCTGAACAGTTGTGCCACGCTTAACGTCTTGTTTGTTTCACCACGAGTGTTATCAGCAGGAAAGCTCGTCGAGGCTCGAGATTTTTGGTCGACGCGAAACGCATCTCAGCCTCCGTAAATGTCCAGTCCGCGCACTCTAGCGCATGTACCGCTCCCAGTCTGTATTTGCTTCAGTCAGAGCTTGGAGGAGCGAGGCGCATTTTCTGATGACATGCGAAGCAGAGGTAGCGTATGATAGTATCGATCGAGTTGAGCCTTCTAGAAGCCAGGCGGGTTAAGTCTCTGACTGACTCTCGTCCATTTCGGTAGCTCTGAAATATTTCATCAGTAATTGTATGCACGGATGAGAGCTTGCCAGACATACTGTGAATGCCTTTCCTGTATTTCTTTTCCTTGCGATCAAAAATCGTGTACTTGTCCTTTGGAAGCATCTCCTCCTCTCGAGGCATCTCCTGGTACCATCGTTCTACCGCTTTTGCCGTCATTCCGCCATTTTTTTGTAGGGCAGTGCTGACGGTATCGACGACTTTATCGACCAACTTTAATCGCTTTCGTTGACGCGCTTTCTGCATCGAAGAGAGGCGCCAGGGGATTTTCCTGCAAGTAAGACTCAATTAGTATGGACGACCGGCGAAGAGCTCTCTTTCCAACATAGACGCACCATAGAAGACCTCCTGCTAGAGGAGAAGTCGGCCTGAACATGACTGGCGAAATTAAAAGGAAAATAGAATTGACTGATCAAGTGCAGGTCGAAAAGTGAGCTGGTATTGTTGCGGTGGGAGAATGGGAAGTTCGAGCGCTATCGGAAATGTTCCCGCAATCATTCGCTCCGCAGCTTCAGCAAAAAAAATCCCGCCGACTTACTGACAGCCAACAGCTCCCGCACGACGCCTCCAGCAGACATGGATTAATGAGAATTTCTAACTACGGGGCTCCACGATTCCTCCCTTCCTTAATCAGACTCGATGGACTTCATTACATTCGTTCCTTTGCCGCGCTACAGCACCAATGCCCTTCCACCGCAATGACCTCAATCTCTACCAAAACCTGGAGTCCCCGAGCTTTTTCTGGCGCGGTGCCTCGTACCAAACGATCCTTACCGTTGCCACGTTGTCGCGTCTCTTCCTCTACACTCTGAACAAAACCGAAGTTCAAGGCCTACCCCGTTTTCTCGACCTCTTGAAGTCGCGTTCCGACTTCAAAACACGTCGTCGCGGGCTATTGACCGTCTCGAACCATATCTCCGTCCTCGACGAACCATTAATATGGGGCGTTCTTCCTTTCTCCTTCGCAGCCTTCCACGGCTATATGAACCACCGCTGGAGTCTGGGTAGTCATGATATCTGCTTCAAAAATGCATTTACGTCCCATTTCTTCACATTGGGACAAGTCCTCCCTATCCACCGCGGCGCACACTCGCCTTTTGGTGGACCCTACCAGGCAACGATGACCGAAGCTGTCCGCCTCCTCTCCAAGATCTCTGCACAGAAGCAATCACTCAGTCCCCTGAGCAACCCGCGGTTTCACAAGGATTGGAAGCCTGCTCAATGGCCTTGGGATTGCGTGGATCCGTTTTCCGACATCTCGCCTCCACCATCCTACCCATCACAGCCCTCCGATGTGAGGTGGTATCTCGCCCCATCACGCTATGCAAGCAATTCGTACAGCTGGGTACACATCTTTCCCGAGGGAATGATCCACCAAGCCACTGACAAGACGATGCGCTACTTCAAATGGGGTGTGGCCCGGCTCATTCTCGAGCCGCCCGAGTGTCCTGATGTGGTACCTATGTTCATTGAAGGAACGGACCAGGTTATGCATGAGAGTCGGTCCTTCCCTCGCTTCATACCCAGAATCGGGAAAAGAATATCTCTTACAATCGGGCGGGAGCTGGACGTTGAAGCAGTGTTTGGCGACCTGCGCAAGCGCTGGCGAGATCTGGCGGACCGACATGCCCGTGAGGCCGGACTGCCTGGATGGGACGAGATGATTCTGGGTCTTGTGCCCGAGAACTTGGCAAATCATCCCGAGGCCGTGGAGCTGAGGATCGAATGTACAAAACGTGTGCGCGAGGCGGTCCTCGAGGTCAGACGCTCCAGGGGTTTGCCGGATGAAGATCCCAAGAATGGAGTGGTCGAGACGTGGGCGAGAGAAGGGCCGAAGCGTGAAGGCTTGATGGACGACGGCACTTGGGTCAAGGACACCTAGAAGAGAGAGAACCAGTGTGTGCACGGGAAGGACAATGCATCCATGAGCCACTCCCATGTCCATGAGGCTCTTGTATAGCCTTTCACAACGGAGATTTGACATCCTGACCCCCTAACAGAACGTGGATTCACACGCTTCTTCCCCCGTGTTCGGACTCGGATTCTCCACTACCTACCCCCTGCCACTGCTAGAAATAGGTATTCATACTAATACATACATACTCACTCGGTCCAATATGGTTGATTTGTGTTAGGTACATAATTTCGAAAAGCATCCCGCCTGGGCTAATCTCTTTCCTCGCTTTCACCAGTTCAAATGTGTAATTACATCTCGTACAGTCGTAGGAATGTATCATACCTTCGATAAGACGTGCACAGCTACCTACATTTACCTAGTACCTATGTAGCTCTCACCTGTCACTGCGTCGTCAGGGTCAAGCCAGTCAAGCGGCACGTCTTTTCCACTACTATTATTCCAGGACAAAGGACAGACCCATACAAGAGCCAAATTCCCAGTTGACCATCGACCTGCATTTAAGGGATAAAAAGACATATCCTCATTCAGACCTAAACACGTATCTGCAGTTGTACTGGGGTATCCAAGGCTGCCACAAACACCATCCCAGCCCTGCAAACGACACGCTCCCGCTTTCATCGTCGTAGCCTTTTTCCAATGCCACAAACCCTGTTATCCAAATAGTTCTCGGGTCGTCAGCCTGCCCCCTCCCAGCCCGCTAAAAATACAGGCGTCGCCGACCCCAATCTGTCCCAAATGGTACCAGAGTTCCCCGAGAGAACCACCAGAGCTATTCAGAATCATAGTTGTCTGCCGCTGTTAAAAAATCGTACCTAAAACCCAATAACCTCAAGCTGAAGCAGCCACTTGCTGAGAAGCCGTTGTGGGGACAGTTGGATCTTCACCTGGGCTTGTTTCGGCCCATGCTCCCCACAGTCCTCGTTTTGCTCTGATCCGCAGGGGCATTCCTATTGACTTGTCGCCTTGCTCAACCTTTATTGCGTCCTTTGAGGCTAGAACTAGCACCTCGAAGAACATTTTCGTGGCATCCTCCTTGCTTGCCCGACCTTCTGGGACGAGATCTTGTAGGAGCACGGATTTCTTGGCTGGCGAAGATGGATGGGCATCATCAGCATTTCCGAGTCGGTCACGCAGGAGATGAACTGCATGTTGTGTCCCGAGTGAGATGGGGCCACTGTCGGCAGGATGGACAAGCGGCACCGTCGTATCGTTGAATGTGCCGTCGCCGGCATCATCGTCGTCCTCAGCAGCATTATCGAAGACTGGAAGACCGTCGCTCATGGGTAGAGGGGCTATGTCATCCAGGGTGATGTCGCGCTGGGCATCATCAAGGTGGACACCTTCATCCTCCATTGCATTTTCCGGGCCTTGTAGTCGTGGGGACTTTTCACTGTGTTCGTCTTCGCTTAGACCACCGATGCCGCTATCTCGCTTCCTCTTGAGTTGCCCGGATTTCGACACTAATTCAAACGACAATAGACCTTGGAGCTCGGGTGCCCAATCTTTGGACTGACCGTCATTCATCGCGTACAAAACAAAGCCGCCGCTCTTTTGCATGTTGGCCAAGTTCATCGTGAGAGAATTTGAAGGCAGAAACGATGGAGGGCGCAAGATCTTCGACCGGTCTGCTGCCTGTGCTTTGATCTGGTTGTTATGGAGCACAGTTTCAACGTCGGGTATGAGGACTTTCTGCTTTCTACTCCGCTGACGTTGCCGGACTACCACTTCTTCGATCTCCTCTTCTGGTTGGTTATGGACTGTCGTGTCGAGTTCGCGAAGGATGTCAGAGTTAGCCTCTGATAAAGGAGACTCTGTGTCTCGTCCACGAGACGGGACCCCCGCCACTCGTTGCAATTGGAGTGTTTCGTCGTCTCCGAACTCAAGCGGTGCTGCATCACCAACAGGAGGTAGAGTATCATCTGCATAAGGCTGATCCGGCATAGGCGTGT